CGGTAGAAGGTGGAATGACAGGTAGACGGCCTTGGTTGCTACTACGCGACTCTATTGTCTTTATTCTGACTGGCCCAGTGAAGAGTCGACAGTGTGTGGTATTCAACGCGCGTGCTTCAGCGAGACGCGCCTTCGGCCTGCAACGCAGCCCAGATTCTTATATCCAGCAGCCCATGCGCACAATTTCCAGAGTGTTCGCGCCGCTCGTAGAAGTCCGAGGTATACAGAGGTAGCAGATGTGGGCCGAGTGGTGAATGCTAGCAGAACAATGGTCGCGCCAGGAAGGTTGAGCTTCCAAAGGCTGCAGGGCTCTCGGCGCGGAAAATCACTCGCTAAGGCCCGAGCAGCGACACAGCTCCCACCTGCCAGCTTGCGCACCCCCACACACCCATGTCGTGATAGCCATTCACCCTGCGCCATCATCCTCTCGGCTCCCGCGGCCGGTGCACTGGTCTTTCCACGCTATCCGAGCTCGACCTCTTCACGCCGCATCTCCAAGACATGATTTAGTCTCTTGACGGCCATCCCACTCTTTTGACACGCGCCCAAGTTCCCCATCCGGCATCATGTCTCTCAATCTGGAGAAACAACTTGTCTTCGTACGTCATGCTTCAACAGATGTCTGTACTGAGCTGACTGGAATGTAGTACGGAGCATACCACCATAATAAAGTAGGCGATACCTGCACGGGGCATCTTCACATGTCAACTAACATGCCATGTGTCAGGTCAACGTCGGCATACATTTGCTCTGTGTTCCTCCGATTCTGTTGACATCTTTCCTACTGGTGAGAATCTTGACAGCTATCACGCTGCTTTCTCTAACACGCCCGTAGCTCACCAACACGCCTGCCGTTCCACTACCATCATGGCTCTCCGTACCTAATCTCCCGTTCAATGTCGGCACTGTTGGGGCCGTCTTGTACTCGACCTTGTACATTCTCATGGAGCCTGTCGCAGGTGCCATGCTGGCTCCAATTCTCATCGGCAGCACCGCGTATGCGAACCACCTCACATCGACCTATGGTGCGACTGCCAACTCCTGGGCCGGCGCAGTCAACATCGCATGCTGGATTGCCCAGTTCATCGGACACGGAAAGTTCGAGGGAAGAGCCCCAGCGCTGTTGGACAACCTCGTGCAGGCCATCTTCCTGGCGCCCTTTTTCGTTTGGTTCGAGATACTCTTCAAGCTCGGCTACCGCCCCGAACTGAAGCGCCGGATAGACCAGGCCGTTGAGCTGGAGATTGTAAAGTTCAGGAAGAGCAAGGAGAAGGGTCAGAACGGCTCTGCGAAATGAGGACAGACATCGACAGTGGATATATACTGTATGAGCAGATAAGCACCCAGCTATTGGCACTTGCAAGATAATCAAAGGAGGCGTTGGGGGATCAGAAGACAGTGCAATAGTGTATGAATACCGCAAGAGAAGAAAGCATTGCGCAGGAGCAAGGTGTACGCGGCGTCTTAGAGGCATATGTTGTCTTTGGTGTTCAAGTTTGCATAAACGGCTGCATGTTTCTTGAGATTCATATAACATAGTAGGATACCAATTTAGAATGTGTTATACTTTACAAGGCGTTGGTGTCTCTTGAGCTGTAGGTGAGGGTAGAGCTTGCAAGCAAGAAAAGCGAACACAGACTTTTGAAGTAAGTACTTGGAGTGTGATGACATGAAGCTAAAAGAAGCTTCCGTTTTCTGAATTGTATCGTACACCGAGAAGTAGTCCGGAGGTATCCACCATCGTCTACTTTATCTCTATCAAAGTGTGGGGTACTTGGCCATGTACTGAGGTTCATCTGCCAAGCTCGAGATGTGCTGCAAAGTTCCGGACATGACCACAAGATGCAGATAAACGAAACATGGTCTCTCTGATGGCTTTTCACCCAGTGCGTGCACGCCGAATCACCCTCGAGAGCGGCCAACGTGGTGTTGTAGTGATGGAGCTCGGTTGAGATGCGGCTTTTTTAGGATTAGTGGTAGACGCCAAGGTCCGCGCTTTCCTCCCGAACCGCAGGACTTTCTTCCTCACAGCAGAGCTCCCCATCCTCCACTCCATCACCATCTCCCCTCTTCCATACCTGCATCAATCTCAATTGGTTGCAGAGCCTCCGAAATAGACTCTTGAGCAGCCGCAGCCATGTTCTCAAGGGCCATCCGCCAGTCGAGCCGCCGGGTCGCTGCAATCTCTGCCACGAGCAGGATTGCGTCGGTAAGTCCATCGCAACCGCCTGCAATTGCGCCTGCCGCACCGTCCAGCCATCGCCAGTAGCCCCAAGAACCGATATCCGATGCCATTGGTGCCGCAATGGAGCTTCGTTGATGGAACTGCGTGGGCTGCGCTGGGCGGAACGAGCTCCCCTCTACCGAGATGCAGTGCTGATACCTTTTCTCCGCCACAGGCCCGCGCTCCCGCGTTCATCAACGCTACCCGATCCTACGCCGCCGAAGCGAAGGCCACCCCCACCGAGGTTTCCTCCATCCTGGAGCAGAGGATCCGCGGTGTCCAGGAGGAGAACTCCCTCTCCGAGACTGGTCGTGTTCTCTCCGTCGGTGACGGTATCGCCCGTGTCCACGGCATGAACAACGTCCAGGCTGAGGAGCTTGTCGAGTACGCCAATTGAGCAACATGACAAACGTTCACGGAAGCTAACGGGTGGCAGGTTCGCCTCCGGTGTCAAGGGCATGTGCATGAACTTGGAAGCCGGCCAGGTCGGTGTTGTGCTTTTCGGTTCTGACCGTCTCGTCAAGGAGGGTGAGACCGTCAAGCGTACCGGAGAGATTGTCGACGTTCCCGTCGGCGAGGCTCTTCTCGGACGTGTCGTTGACGCTCTCGGTAACCCCATCGATGGAAAGGGTCCCCTCAAGACCACCGAGCGTCGCCGTGCTCAGCTCAAGGCCCCCGGTATCTTGCCCCGCCAGTCCGTCAACCAGCCCGTACAGACTGGTCTCAAGTCTGTCGACGCCATGGTTCCTATCGGACGTGGTCAGCGTGAGTTGATCATTGGTGACCGTCAAACCGGAAAGACCGCCGTTGCCCTCGACGCCATGCTTAACCAGTACGTAATTTCGATAACAACTGCAAGCCAGACAAATACTGACTTTGTATCCTAGACAGCGATGGAACAAGGGTACCGACGAGACCAAGAAGCTCTACTGTATCTACGTCGCCGTCGGTCAGAAGCGATCCACCGTCGCCCAGCTCGTCAAGACCCTTGAGGAGAACGACGCCATGAAGTACACCATCATTGTCGCCGCCACTGCCTCCGAGGCTGCGCCCCTGCAGTACATCGCTCCTTTCTCTGGCTGCTCCATGGGAGAGTGGTTCCGTGACAACGGCAAGCACGCTCTTATCATCTACGACGATTTGACCAAGCAGGCCGTTGCCTACCGTCAAATGAGTTTGTTGCTCCGCCGTCCTCCTGGTAAGCTATGACGATATCAAACGCCTGTGAGACATGCACTGACTTCGAATCTTCAACTTTGCAGGTCGTGAGGCTTACCCCGGTGACGTTTTCTACCTCCACTCTCGTCTCCTTGAGCGTGCCGCCAAGATGAACGACAAGCTCGGTGGTGGTTCGCTCACCGCTCTGCCCGTCATTGAGACCCAGGGTGGTGATGTGTCCGCTTACATTCCCACTAACGTCATTTCCATCACCGACGGACAGATCTTCTTGGAGGCTGAGCTCTTCTACAAGGGTATCCGTCCCGCCATTAACGTCGGTCTCTCTGTCTCCCGTGTCGGTTCCGCTGCCCAGGTCAAGGCCATGAAGCAAGTCGCTGGTTCCCTGAAGCTCTTCTTGGCCCAGTACCGTGAGGTTGCTGCTTTCGCCCAATTCGGTTCCGATCTCGACGCCGCGACCAAGCAAACCTTGTCCCGTGGTGAGCGTCTCACCGAGCTCCTCAAGCAGAAGCAGTACTCTCCTATGGCCGTCAACGAGATGGTTCCTTTGATCTACTCTGGTATCAACGGTCTCCTCGACTCCGTACCAGTCAACAAGGTTCTCCAGTGGGAGGCTGACTTCCTTGCCCACCTCCGATCGAACGAGTCCGACATGCTCGCCCAGATCGACCGGGAAGGTGCTCTCAGCAAGGATCTCGAGGCTAAGCTCAAGGAGGTCGCATCGAGCTTCACCAAGAGCTTCGTCGCATAAACGAGTTGAAGGCTGGAAGAGTGGGTATTGTCTATTCCAATGTTCTGAGGGGCCAAAAAGTGCTGATTGGTCTTTGAGAATAGATGTATAATAGAAGATCCGTCCTCGCCATCAGCTGTGTCTCAATATGGAAGATTTGTTCGTTTTTCTGCATTGACCTCAGCCTGGCAACGCACGCCTACCTTGGTCGACGAATACCTCTTGTGATTCCCTGTGCTCTTGTTAGCGGTACATATACAGCTCATGAGAATGGGGTGGCTGGGCTCTGTATATGACAAATGAACGTTTCCTCTGTTAGATCTATGTTATGAGTGTGATGGTCGTGACACTAGTGCTAACAAGAACACTGATCTCACATGATATCCCATTTGGTCACCTAGAATGACTAACGTTAGGTCAATACTAATACCGTATACAAGGGTAATACTGAACAGGTATAGAGATAACAAGCTTTACCTTGCAGCTTACATTGGCTTCTAATTAGAAAGCTTACAAACATCAACAGCATTGTAGACTTCTAGATACTTTATTGTATCTATATGACTCTTGGTATGCTTTATTGTAGTAGGAAGAAGTATCCTGAGGATACTAAGATAGCCAGCACTATTAGAAGAACGGACATGGAGTGGCAACAGAAGTCCCCGAGTTGTGGAGCATACCGAGTCTAGCAGGGTAGACATTCCCATGGCAGGTAGTCAGGCGCTACTTGTTGGTCGTGACACTTAAGATATGACAAGGTAGTTTGATAAAGGCAAAGGAGTTTGACGATGCGGTTTCGATTCTAATAGTCTATAGGAGGTACTCGCCATACCCAAGCGACGTATGCAAGATTCTTCTATGCAAATGCATCTATTTCTGCCTTCCTCGTCCTCGCTCCTCGCTGTCACTGGCATCGCCATCCTTGAACGGGTCATCGCCAATGTCCACGGCATCACCCGTCTCCGGAGGCTCATCTCTGTACTCATCGTCCCAGGTTGTCCGAAGACTGATATCATCATCTTCTTCACGTAACCGTTCGGCAGCTTCCAGCGCTCCCGGGTCATCCGCGTATTCATTCTCCAAATCTTCGATACTCATACGACGAATACCCGCACGCTCTTCGGCTTCAAGCTGTGCAGCCCGGGCCTTGGTCTTGCGGTATACGAGCCAGCCTGTGGTAACACCCGCAATGAGGCCAATGAATATGGAAACGTAGGATAGAGCTTTTGTACTAGGGTCCATTTTACCTCCGCTTTCAGCAATCTTCTCGAGCTGGCTGCCGATGAAAATATGTAGCATAAGCTTTGGTGATACGATAGCAGTAGCTAGAGCGTATGACGCCCAGTGTACGGTTGGGAAGGTTGCGACAGCGCCATTGGAAATGGAGTATGGTAGTGGACACAGTCGGTACATGATGAGGAGTTTTAGACCATCGTGCTTGAGGGTCAGGGAGAGGGCGGCGAAGCGCGTGTCATTCGCTATTAGACGGTGGACCATGTTCTTGAGGAGGGTACGCGAAAGGAGGAAGGACGCTGTGCTGCCGGCGACTGTCGCTGTTGCGGCTATGAACCAACTGGTCTAATGTCAGATTGGATGTAGTGAATGTCCTAATAACCTTACCCATTAGGAAAGCCATAGACGAAACCGGCGATGGTGAGTAAACTCGAATACCCAATCAAGGGCGGGAATGATACAACAAAGATCAAGACCCAGAGTATCAGCCATCCGGCTGTGACGTCTCTCCACTTCTTCGCTACGGGCAGCAAGGCCCCGAATATGCGCTCATTGTAAACCAAGAACAGTATGCCGCCTACTGCCAACACCAAATTCCCAACGAAGAAGAGTATTTTCTGCAAGGGAGAAAGTTTATTGTATTGGTCCAGGACTCGTCGCGAGAGTGTATCGTACTTGTCCATGGCGCGCTGCCGCCATGTGCTCTGTTGGCTCTGGTGCGAGGGATTGCGCCGGAAGGTAGATGATTGCGAACGTCGACTCCATATCGGCGTCTGGCCTGTTTCCTCGTCGTCTAATGGGAGCGCAAGAGCGCGGACGTCATAGTCGCTCGCGGGCATGCTAGCTGATGCCTACGTTAAGTATTGGGGGGTGTGCTCAGCGGAGTGGCGCGGATGTATGCGGAGGTAAGAAGATGTGAATGGGATACGGAATTCAATAAGAGGGTAATGGGAGGGTGTTAGCTGATACGAGTGGAGACGGACATTCCGTGTGGTGATAGTAGAGGGTTGGAGACAGCTCTGGTGTGAGATGCTAATGCTAGTGGGAGCGCCGCTGGAGAGCTCTTGGTTTCATCGTCATCCGGGCGGACGAACGAGGTGCATCCGCCCTGCATTAGGCGATCAGATCAGATCTACCCCGAGTTGAAACGACATTCCTTTTCGGCATGCGTGTCGATGGCGTTTGAAGATTGAGAGGGTGTTGACAACTACATTTTGATGCGCGTGAACCCAGGCCTATGCAGTATCAAATGCATAAGTAAAGGTCGACAGCTCCGGTGCATGTCTCCACCGACCCGCAACAAACACCCAGACACGTGACCTTGCTCAGCCTCTTGCAGCCTCTGGCGGCCGTGTGGCGTCGACGAGCCTATTCGAAGGATACTTGAGGCATATGTTGCAGCTTCTTTTCCGCCGACGAATGCCATCTCAGCTCTGCAATCTCAGCCCTGGCCGTCATCAACGCTCAGCTCAGACGCACATCACACTCATCCCTTCATCAGCAACTACCGGCTCCAGGGCCATGTAGGGCAAGTCCGGGACCAAGTGTTGGAGATTACCGTTCCCGCTGTATGGTCGACGTTGCTGCACGGTGCAAGCATCCCCCACCCCTACGTAGTTGAGCCTAGTCCCTCGAGCTTCATTCGCGCTCGCGATCGCCCCAGGCATTCATTCACTCTGCCCGTTTTGGCGCACTTGGTGTGTCCTGCAGAGAAAGGCTGCGGGACTGGTTATTGCCCTTCGTTGCAGCTTCATTCCCTCTGTGACGCGCCGGTCGCTCCTCTGCCATTACCCGCAGTACATGTAATCACCCCCGACGGCCTCCTGTCTCGACCAAGACCTCTGACCTCAAGCGCCCATCCCGCGCGCCACTTCTGACCGCCTATCACCCCAATATACTTCTTTCCTTGCTTGGAAATAATCAATCACCATGGTCGCCGACGACTTGTACGAAAAGGCGCTGCCTGTGTTGCAGGACGAGGCCCTGGACGAGGAGGACAAGACGGACAAGCTCGAGGAGCTTCTGCGCAAGGAGACAAACCTTACCGGCAAGTCCCTCGAGAACATTGTCCTGGACTGCCTATGGCGCTACCGCGACGCCGGCAGCTCTTCCAGCTCTCCTCCCAGTCGTCATACCATCATCCGCCGGCCCTCGCCAGCTCCCTGGCAGGCCAACCGCGCCCCGACTCCCGTCAACAACTCTCCGCGCATGGTGCACCCTCCACCAGGCTTCGGCATAGGTCCACCCGGCTTCGCACGCACAAAGTCGTCGACTGCATCCCCCTTTACTTCTCCGCGACCCTCGCCCCGACTTGCTTTTTCCACACCGCATATCCCCCATAGCCCCAGCCTGAGCGCATACCAGTTCAGCGAGTGCGCAAGTCCGAACACAGAGTCCTATGGCGATCTCGATGGCCACTCCGTCGACTGGCTGGTCAACGATGATGCTGCAAGCACAGAGTCCTCCCTCCTGGGTGACGGCACGCTCAACGGTGCCGCGGCCGAATGGGTGCAGCCCCAGACCATGGACATGGGCCCGTACGACATGTTGCGCTCCATTCTGAGGGACGACCGATCAGACGAAGAGCTTGAGAAGGTCTTGGAGGCTAATGGATATGACCTCAGTGCTGCCCTGCTTGCACTAATGGGGCAACAACTAGACGTACAACAACTCCCCACTACTCCTTCAGAGCATCCTGGATATGTCATCGGAAAGTCTATGAGTCCGGCGTTTAGACCTAGCACACCCGTAGGCCAGCAGAAAAGCAACATCGTGTGCAAATACTTCCTATCAACAGGACATTGTGCCAGAGCAGATTGCAGGTTCAGCCACGATACCAGCAAGACATTATGCAAGTAGGTGTATACACATGCCTCTGGGTATTCTAAGCTAACGCTCACTGCAGATATTTCCTAAATGGAAACTGTCTAGCTGGTGACACATGCCTCTTCTCACATGATCCCTCTGCTCTCATGGCTCGTATGGCTGTCTCAGACGTCCAGACTCCACCTATACCAAACTTCCAGATGTCTGATTATGAGTTCCCTACACTCCACTACAACGGCTCACCCCTAGGTACCCCATCGATAACATCAGCTGCAACCTCTTTGGAACAGCTCTATGGCCTTACTAGTGGTGGCCCTACACGTCCTCCACCAGGACTTAGCCCATTTGCCAACTTCACCCCTGGAGGCGGTAGTCGTCCGCAATCTAGAACCGGCAGTCGCCAAACCTCACGTGCTACTACACCATCAGTACTTGCAGTGGACGACAATGATGCTTTCCCTAGTCTAGGCTCCGCTGCCGCTGCTAAGACTGGAAAGCGTCACCACGGCAAGCGGGGTGGCCATGGTCATCACAAGGATGCCCCGGGACCTAATAACCTTGCTGATGTCGTTCGCATGTCCCCTGTCCCTGCTCCTGTCACTCCGGTCCGCAAGGGATTAAGACCAACCAAAAGCTTCACCGGATCTCGCGAGAATAGTGTGGCTGCACAGGCAATACCTGCCCCTCAACACATTCCGTGGTTAGAGACCGGCGAGAAGGGTAATCAAGCGTATCTTAAAGCTCGCGCCGAGGCCTTTAAGCATGGTAGTCTGCGCAACAAGTTTTTGCAGAGGTAGGTTACGTCGATCTTCACAAGGGGCACCCATGCTAACACCTATCAGTGCTGCTCAGGCCTGGAACCGTAGTGATTCGCGCGCGGCTAAAGCTCTTAGTCTTAGGGGGCAGAGCGAGAATAACCTGATGCGTGAAGCCCACCGTGAAGCTGCTCGTATTCTTTACGAAGATCGCAACAAGGACAGCGACGGCTCAAGAGAGCTGTATGTTGATCTTCACGGTAAGTCGAGTTGGTGATTTCGATTTTTAGCAGAACTAATGTCACTCAGGTCTGCACCCAGATGAATCCGTGTCATACCTCGAGGGCATTCTTCTGAAGCACAGCTCATCTTCTCGTCCAGTGTATGCCATCACAGGAACCGGCCATCACTCCAAGAATGGTAAGGACAAAGTCGGCAAGGCTATTCGCGGCTTCCTCAACGAATGGCGCTATGCTTTCCGTGAGTTCTCTGTTCCTGGCGATCGTAACAACGTAGGTGGCATTCTTGGTATCGACCCGAGTAGCTACGATAAAAGCGTCGCAGAACGGCCGAAGGAGTCCGAATCAGACGGAGATAGCTCGAAGAAAGACACCAAGATTCGCATCATGAAGAGAGATGATGTAATAGACGCGCCGAAAGGTCCAAAGCGTGCTGCTTGATCTGATTGAGTGGAATGTTCAATGTACCTAATAGGTAGCAAGAAATAAGAAAGAGTTTACTTCACCGCTTGTATTGTGGCCTGGGCCTTATTGACGTGTTGAAGTAGCAGATTGTTGAGACGTTATGGCCCCCTGAGACTGCTCAGCTGAGGAAGCCACACCCAGCGTCGCACCTGCTTCTCGCGACAAGACCCACTATAACGTGCTGAGTCTTGTCTCTCACCATACAGCTTCTGCATTTTCAGTTGTTCTCATCTCACCTCACGTGTAGCGGCCTTCTCTGTCTCGTGCGTCATTGAGCAGCAACGCCATACTATTACCTGCAACACCGCATCTCCTTGTCCACTGCCTTTTGAGTGTTATTCCATATTCTGTCGCCATGGCTCCCCGACGGCCGAGCACGGCTGGCGACATTGACTCACGCATGCCATTCGCATCGGCTGAGATGTTGCTGTGGGGCCCAGAAATGAAACAGCAACATGCTCACCTGCTCACGGAGATGCGCAAACTCCAGAGACATCACGAAGCTTACGATGTCCGGATCAAAACTACTGAACATGTTGCGGGGGCCGCAGAGGCTGCTACATCCAGAATCCGTCATCTAGAGCAGCGACTTGCGGCAATCGAAGCCGAAGATGACGACAAAGCATTCGAAAAGTGGGCAATGGGCGAGATGGCACGGCTGGGTAACTTCATTGACACAAACAAGCACGTCAGGCAGAAGCAGATCGAGCTGGACAATGTTATGTCCCATGCCGTGGAGGATCTAGATAGGCTTAGACAAGTCCCTAGGGATCTTCAAAACGTTCTTCTGCGTCTTGACGTTCTCGAGGCTGGTCGAACTGAAGACGTCCGTCGGATCAGGAGCTTGGAAAAAGAACTCACTCATCTCAAAGCTATCCAACAGGACCACACTACCAAGACCGCTGGTTCCCAGACAGTTTTCAGGATCCAGCAAGCCATCATGAGAACTATGACACCACCTCCGTTACTGAACGACGGGCATTCAGACGCGACTACTGAAGCTGAGGATGAAGAGTTGGCCCCTATGCAGAAACCTACACATGAAGGAAACCAGGTACGACAATACCCAGAGATGAGAGAAAGGTAAGAAAATTCTCTGACGCAGTCGTGTGCACGACATTGCTGACGATAATAGGAATCCAAGCACTACCTTCGCTCCGTCAGTAACCTCAGACAGCCCAACAAAGTCAGCCCGGCAGAGACTGATGCAGAGGCCATCGATTCACGACTCCATGTTACTGCGCAATTCGGAAGAACAAGAACAACTCCGAACACCTTATGCATTGCCTGACAAACCAGGATATGACATTCTCTCTGCAACACAGCTCCTGCCACACATCCAACAGGCTCGAAGTCCGGCTCCGATCCCAACGCGCGAGGCTCCCTCGCATGCCAGAGTCTCTCCGCCTCCAACACAACTACTCCGCAACAACCGCACATCTCCAGTCCTAGCCTCAGTCCCAGCCTCAGTTCTAGCCTCAACATGTAAGGCCCGCCCACGTGCCAGAGTTGCTCCGCCATCAACACAGTTGGTCAGTAAAGCTGGTTCGAGAAAGCGGAAACTACCTGAGAGAGAGCCCCAAACTCAACGCGTGACACGTGCCCAAGCTAAGAAAAGTCAAGCACAGGAGGCTGATGAGCAAAAGCCGCTAGGGGCAGGTAGTTCTACACCTTTTCCATCTGTGCAACCAGCCGAGCCCGCTTTATCGTCGCGCAAGAAGCGAAAAACTGCCCATGCGCAAGAACCAGATCAGATCAAAGCCGAACCCAGCACTACAACCCGGGCCGCCCATAGGACACCGGCAATCTCAGAGCGAAGCGCTGCCGCAGATCGAGGCAAGAACACGGCTATGGAACCTACCCAGCGGGTCACAAGAAGCCCGGCAAAATCGAACGTGCCAAAGGTTATTACATCGCCTGTAAAGAAAAAGGATCCTTTCCCAGTTCGATCAAATGCTGCAAATCCACAGAAACAGAGGTCGTTGATTGTCGTTCTTCGGAGCCCGCAGAAAGCAGCAAGAACTAGACGTAGTGAGAGCGATGATACGGAAAGCACCCCTGCAGACAGAGTTAAGATGTCACCTCGCAAAGCGGCAATTATGCCACTGTCACGTTCCAAGGCTAGGAAGAGGTCTAATGGAACAAGGGCGAAACCGGAGATATCTGGAATCGGCGCTTTCTAAATTTTCAAGATCTGATGAACTTCGGTCGTTGCTCACGTATGGAAACTTCGCCTTATGTTTCGCTGAACTCGTACAAACCCTCACGATCTGCAACTGGTACTTCCAGGTTCGCCTCTTCGATATCTTTACCATCCACTTTGAGTCCCGCACGCATAATGTCGCCCGTCTTCACTGGACCCACGCCCTTCGGCGTTCCTGTGAGTACAATATCGCCCTTTTCTAGCGTCATGACCCTACTAATGTCGCTTAGTTGTCTCGGAATTCGGAAAAGCATTAGTTCAGTGTTGTCGGATTGCTTCATCTCGTTGTTGACTGAAAGCCAAAGGTGTGCTTTCTGTGGGTCTGGGATCCGGCTCTTCGCGATGAAGTTGCTGATGGGCATGAAGGTGTCGAAACCCTTCGCAATGGACCATGGCAGGCCTTTTCTTTTCGCTTCATCCTGCACATTACGTGCAGTCATGTCGATAGCGAGAACATAACCTGTATTTCGGATGTTAGTTCGATAGGGACTCCATATAATGTTACACTTGGCTTCATGTATAGCGTCCGTAGTACCTTCTATAGCATCCATAGCACCCTTGGTATCCTCGGGATGCAGATCCCTTATTGTCTTGCCCATGATGAGACCGAGCTCAACTTCATAGTGCATATTCACACCACGAGGTCGTAGTACTGGACCAGCGCCTGGTAGCAAGATAGATGATGGTGGCTTCAGGAAGAAGAAGGGTTGCTTGGGCGTAGCACTAGACAGCTCCTTGATGTGGTCTGCATAGTTCCTGCCTATGCACATGACCTGCGAAGTGTCAGATTATACCAAAAGTCTCCTCTGTGCCGAGTCCAAATTTCGTTCTCTTCCAATCCAACTTCCTCAACCGTCCAGTCCCAAAGCACAGAAACACTAACTTTACAAGCCACGATAGTCAATCTGGTTCGTGCCAATTACTTTTACCATAGCATGGCTCTCCAGCTCTCTCTCCTACTAGGGTTTCCTGATAACACGAATACCACACGAAATCACGTACCTTGCGACAATTCGCCCTGATAGCTTGTATGCTCGCCATGATGAAGTATTCCCAAGGTTTTCAGATATAACCTAAAAGCACGTATATATGACTGCAAACAAGATGTAGCAGACCGTCTTCGGGAAGGTACTTGACCGGTAATCGACGGGAGTTTTGATCTCGGGCCCCTGCCCGCTACGGGTTAGGAACCGAGATGTGGGGGGGATTGCCGTGTGAACGTCAGAGCTGCTGGGTCATCCATCCTACTTACGATCGCAACGCAACCAAACTACCGCAACAGCCATTCCACATTACATTACGCATTTGTGAGCAAACAAGACATATCCCAATATTCCCCTTAGCACCCGCGCATATGGCGCAAAGCCAAGGAAACACAATGCAGCTTGCGGAAATGCTATCCGATCTTGTGTCCTTACGCGCTTGTGTACGTTACCCTATCCTCGTATCCATGCATCGCCCTTCTTTTTAACACCATTTCATTTGCAGGATCCCGCTGCAGCGCTTGCCCTCGTATCTGCGCGCTCTACAGATCTCAACTCCACATCCTCCCATGACAACACCGCAAAACCCAACACAGCAACAGATGATGAGCAAGACCCAGACCTCAAGCGCGCAAAGGACCTGCTGAAACTACATTACGAAGTGAAGGAGGCGCACAAGAGGGGAGAGTTGGGTAGGGGACTCGAGGAGGCGAGGAGTTTGGTTAGGAAAGCTGTTGGCGGGTGAAGAGGAGATTGGAAGTGAGCATGGACATACAAAGACACAAGAGATGCTGCGCAACACCAAGCGCAAGGTCAAGAAAGAGAGAACATGTGAACTTGCGGTGGGGGCTAAAGGCAACTGCAGCTGCGGACGTGATCGATAACCTTAGACTCACGCAAAGAGGCATGATAAGGAGGGTTCAATACATGAGCACGAAGAGAAGAGAAAGGGTGATCTTCGCACGCTCATCGTGTTGGCAGTTCCTTGCGCAGACAAGAGGGCGCGGCTCGAAGGAGACATGTAAGACTGAGAGATTCATTCGCTTCGTAGTAGCATCTGCATAGGAGTCGGTATTCAACGCCAGATAGAGGGCTTTCTTAGGGAGACCTGAAGTTCACCACCACGATCTAAATACCAATCTTCCAACTCATTTCACGATCCTGCAGCTGCAAGCATAGCGTCTGCTATAGCCTTGACATCCTCACCAGCCTTCTTCTTCTGGCGGAGAAGCACCATGATAGGAACAGACTCGGGTGGTGCACGCATAGCTGCAAGTAGCTTGACCTTGTCGCGCTTGCGAGTTTTTCTGGAGAACATTAGTACACAGGTAGCTGTGAAATTGGGATCCAGTATAGTGTATGCGGGGAGGCTGAGGGAGTTGATTTAGTTCAGGGATGGTGAGAGGTACTAAGTGTACTCACGCAGTCGTCGTTGCCACAGAAGGAGCTGGTGCTTCTGTTTCTGCTACAGATGGTGTGGGTTCAGGTGCAAGAGCTTCTGGAGATGTAGTTGGCACGTCCTCTGTCTCTGCAGCTGTGTATGCAGGCGCGGCTTCTGGTTCGGGTGCAGGTTCGGTAGGTGCTCCTGGCTCTGCTGCTCCGGAATCAGGGGCAACTCCAGGCTCAGTAGCCGGTGCTGGCTCGGGTTCTTCTGCCACGGTTTCAGGCTCAGTTACTGCCCCAGCGCCTTCTTCTGCTTCGGCTACCCTCGTGACAGGCACAGGTGTAGATTCAGCCTCGGCCTCAGCTTCAGGAGCAGCGGCAGGCTCAGGCACTTGCTCACTTGCTGGCGCGGGTTCTATAGGTTCGGTTTCGACAGGTGCTATAGCTGGCACTTGCAACGTTGGCTCTGCTGTAGGCTCAGGCTCTGCTGGTGGAACCGCTTCGGGTACTGCTGGTGAAGGTTCGATTGGGGATTCTGTTTCAGGTACTTCAGCTGGAGGTTCTTCAGGAACAGCTTCAGGTTCAGTATGTAGCTCAGGCTCAGGGTCGACAGAACGTTGCAACGGAGCAGGTGTAGCTTCAGGTTCTGAGGTTCGAGGTTCCGTTGGCAGTTCTTCAGCTGACGGCTCTACTGGCGATTCTTCTGGAACACTTTCAGACTCTGGCTCTGGTTCCCTTTCAGGATCCATGGAACGTTGAACCGGAGCAGGTGCAGCTTCAGACTCTCCGGCTGGCGGCTCTGCGACTGGTTCTTCGGGAGCAGGTTCGGGCGCCAGCTCGGCAGCAGGCTCAGGTGGGTTCTTGGATATGGGCTCGTCTGTTGGCTCAGGCAGAGCTTCGACTACAGGCTCTGGTGCCTTCTCAGGTGCTGCCTCGGGCTCCGCTTGCGATTCTGGTTCTGGTTCTGGTTCAACAACAGGCTTAGGAGTGGATGGGGCAGCCTCTTCGGGTGCTGGGTTAGCAGGCGGCTCTGCTAGAGGTTCTGGAGCGGGCTCTGGCTCGGTAGGCGCTTCGGGTTCTTCCACAGGAGGCACATCAGAAACCGCAGCTGGATCCGCCATGACGAATGGGGATAGAATCAATGATAGACAGAAAGATGTGGAGGAGAAGTTCGAGTGACAATCGGAGTGATATGATGGGTCGTGGGAGAAATGATATGCTGGCCCAGGTAAGTGGATGATTGTGGCCACATCCTGATCGGTCGGAATCTCATGACTTTAGGATATAAAGAGAAGTCGTGACCAAAACAATTTAGCTGAGAGCCGAAGGAGGAGACGTGCGAACGCAGCAAGTGCATGTTGAGCATGTTAGCTCTGTGCGATTCGAGCAGCCAGACCTCGTATAGACTGTTCGAGAGCAGGTGAAACAGGACATTGTCCCGATGGCACATCTCATGTTAGCGTTATGCTTTCGTACTCCGTCACTTTGATGCTGTAGACCGGATTTCGCTGTTTCCCAGCCCAAGACATCGAAAGGAAAGCGTGAGGTTTGGAGCGGCGGGTGGCAGGAGCTTAGCGCGTTGTACCTGCATGAACAACTGACGTAGCCCCGGAGATGGATGCCAAGCCCGCAGATGGGTCCGCCCGAGCTCCAGCTTTCACCGTCGCGAAATCGTCCTTCTCCACACGCGTCACTCCGTTTGCCTCCCAATTGCACTCTATCTTTAATTCTCAAAATGGCGTCTAGCGTCGATCAGAAGCGTCTCAAGGCAACAAAGTTTCCACCCGAGTTCGACAAGAAGGTCGACATTGAGAAAGTCAACATTGACCTCATGAAGAAGTGGATTGCTAACAGGATCACCACTATTCTCGGCGACGAAGACGACATCGTAGTCGAGACCTGTTACAATTTGATCGAACAGAACCAATTTGTCAGTAGACCTAGAATCGGCATAGCGCAACGTTTGCTAACCTATGCAGCCCAAGATCAAGGAAATCCAAATCCAACTGACGGGCTTCCTTAACAAGGATACAGCACCTTTCTGCAAAGAGCTATGGGACCTCATGCTGAGTGCGCAAGACAGTCCTATGGGTGTGCCCCGAGAACTGTTGGAGGCGAAGAAGGCCGAACTGCAGCAGGAGCAGGTAAGCCAAACTACGGACCAACACCATTACTGTTGCTAAGGATCTCTATAGCTTTCAAAGGCCGCAGCTGATGCTCGAAGGGCCGAAGAACAAGCGCAGAATGCTATGATCGACTCTTTCCGACAAAGTGAGCGTCCTGAGCGTTCAGATAGACCTGAACGCGGCCGTGGTGGAGGAAGATACCGTGGCAGCGATCGCAGAGGGCGCGGCAGAGACTTTGACAGAGGAATTCCACGACGCGAGCACGACTCAAGGTCACCACCGTACGTCTTCCGCGTCTATGCGGAGAGAAGACTACTGACATGTGACAGGAGACGGAGACCTTCACCACCTACTCGCGAGCGTGATGTTTACATACCTGGAGGGGGACGTGGTCGTGGACGTGGAGGACGTCGCGATAGATCCCGCGACCGCCGTCGCTCACCTTCGGGCAGTCGTTCTGCATCTCCACCACCTCGTCGTACACGTCGCTCACTATCGTCAGAACCCTCTCGATCTCCACCGCCCAGGCGTCGAACGCGGCGTTCTCCGTCAACTGACCGCTCAAGATCTCCACCTCGCCGTGTTCGCCGTCGCTCTCCTTCGCGCAGCAAGTCTCCACCTGCAAGACGAAGGAGGGATAGGTCTCCGAGCGAGAGCAGGAGGCGACACAAGCATACTTCGCGCTCCAGTTCCCCGCCATTCAGAACCAAATCGAGCTCACCAGCGCCCAGGCTGCGATCACGATCACGAACCCCTCCGCGCCGCCGGCGTCGTTCTCTCTCGAGCTCCATGTCTGTAAGCCCTGTGCGAGAGCGTCGGCGCAGACGTTCTACTTCATCCGGAGCTGATTCCAATGACTCTCGCACCGACATCAAGAAGCGCAAACGGTCCATAAGCTCTAGCAGGTCACGATCTCGCAGCAAAACTGGTAGGGCTAGACGTCGTGTCACTCGCTCACCCACAGGTTCACCGGTTCGCAAAGAAGGGGAAACCCCGAAGTCATAGGATGCCTATAAACCCGCTCTCTGCAGCGCGTGCTTAAAGGGGCCAGACACTTCTTATATGAACGCGAAGCGGTGTTCGCGGTGCTACCGAGTGAAGAAATTATACGATCGTGACCAGTCCGGAAGGCGTACGTCCAAAAGGGGATGGAGAAAGCGGTCATAAATGCTCCGGTCGCGATTGTCCTTGACATGCTCAAATAACATTGTTGACATTTTTACCCATGCGCCACAGAGAATAGAATATCAGGATAGCATGGGCCGGTAAAGAGTATGCGTTTGCTTCAACTGCGCCCTCAAACAGCCTCATGGCCACTGTACACTAAACAACTTTACATATCGCAAACCCGAGGACTTCATGACAATACTATTAAAACATCTTACTCGTTTCTTCTCCCGTCTTGCCGTGCATCAACATGCGGGTTGCGTACCTTGTACGTCCTCAATCTAGTATATACTCTGCAATGCGTGGCGTCTCTCAGTTGCCAGCGTGGCGCTATGGTGCGTGTGTGGAAGGCATACGGCGGTTGCGCATAACGGTGTGTATCCTACGATCTGGCAAACTTTCTGCGGCATTGCGGCTTCTGGAGTCGAGGCAAACGTAGCGCATGATAACCTGATGCTTTTACTACCAATCGGCGTGTGGTTTAGTCTGTCGTTCGTTGCAGGTTTTCGGTCGTTAGAATCTCGTTACGCCGTTTCATCCTTTGCGCCGTTTACACTGTGCGGCTACGACACTGATGTCGTCAAGCTTTCCTAAAATAACGTCAGCGGCGTCTCACTCTCACGGCCGAATAAACGGACCTCCTTCGATGGATAAGCCCTCATCGATCGCCTTCTCCATATATGGACTCTCAGCAAACGGATCCTGAGCTATCTCTCTTGCGGCATTCATCAACTGCTGTGCTGCAAATTGCATACCAGCAGCATACGTCTGGTCCTCTGTATCTTTATCTTTGTCGCCGGTCCACTTCTCCATGCTTTCGCAGATATTTTCAACAATTTCATGTTCCCATAAATTGTCTACTACGCCATCCGTCAGCGCCAGTACGACGTCTTCTTCCCGGATCTCCACACAATCCATGACCGCATTGTTGTCTGGTGTATCTGGACTATTCGTACCCAATTGCCGTGGACAGTCAAACCAGTGCCATTGCTCCTGCGTTTTGTAGATGACTTCCTTGCTACTTGGTCGTATGACGAGGATTTGGGAATCGCCTAATTGCGTCACGTAGAGCAAGGGGTGGTCCGGTTGTTCGTTGTCCGCTCCGAGAAGCGCTCCGCAGGCAGTAGTTGTGCCGTGCCATTCGTTGGGCGAGGAGGTGGCTTGCTTGGTAAGCTCGTATGCGGTCTGGAGGTACGTGACGGGATTTGGAGGCGAGGTGGAGGAGTAGGATGCGCCCTCGATTTCAAGGGACCAGAAATGGGCGATGAGACGGGACCACAAACTGTGTAGTGTATGATCAGCACTCGCACCTCCTAGATAACCAAACGACACAAGACTCACGCGGCATGTCCCTTTTCTCTCGTCGCCCATGCTCCCACACCGTCGTTTGCTGCAATGAAGCTCTCACTGACTAGCACCGCATCGTCCCCGTTTGTAACCCCTCTTATCATCTCCCCATTTACAGTCGGTCGACGATCCCTACTCTTGTTATGTGTACTTAGGGGCTCAGAGAAACTCGTTGAAGGCAACGACAAGAACGGCGGAGGAAACGGCCGTGAAGGCCTCTTTGCGAAAAGCGCATATCCAGCCTCAAAGTAGAAAGGCAACTTGGACTTGGGCGGCTTCGCGTTGTCAGGAACGGGCGTCGTCGTGCCAGCGCCCGTTTGCGCTTTGGACGCTTTTTTGGAATAGCATCTCGAACTTGGTGGTGGGAAAGCAGGTACTGCGGGTAGTCTCGTTGGCGTTCGGAGTGCTGGTCTCCAGGCTTGTGATAGTTGGTGCTGGAGGAGGGGTCTACTGCGCATGCGGAAGCAAGGCGCGAGCATGCCAGCGACGAACGATGCAAGAGAAAGAAAATTGCGGTTGAGGACTTTTGTGTCCAAAAATATCCAAGTTCAAAAAACCATGAGGAGCCGTCGCTCTACCTTCCGGTGTGTGGGGAACCCGAGACTATGGTTTGCGCATGGCGACCATGGATCGGAAATGAGAGGAGGACATGACTCAGCAGATGCATTACCCTCTATCATGACGTCTGTGGGGATTCAACGCGTTCTTCATGAGAGAAGTAGTCCAACACGTTTGTATATGAAAGCATATTTGGAGTGAGTAAGATTGGACAGCTTGGTGTTACGAAGCATGGCATTGTACACAGTACTATGTATTAGTGGAACGTAGGCAAGCTAGTCAAGTTCGCTATTTAATGTTAGTCTACCATTCTATGCTTCCAAGTAACATGGTGACTATTTTGAAGAGACCCATTGTTTCTCAAGCCGTGTGGTGAATCCAGCCTCCATAGTCCCGGCCATAGGGTATACCAGATAAACGCCTGCCAATGCACCTATGGGTACCCTCCCACGTTTTCCTGTGATCCCTCCCTGAGCATTTCTATGCTCTCCTCTTGGCGAAATTCTCCAAATCAGCCCGTGTAGCTACGCCCAATACAAACTTCCTACTGGCGTCCGTTACCACCGCGAACTCCTGCTTCCCACTTCCATCTACCCCACCAGCGAAGAACTGCTCGAGTTCCTCTAGCGGGGTCTCGGTCGTGATGACCTTGTACCTCCTGCCGCGTCGCTGGAACTTGTGCATTGCTGCCTCAACGGGGTCGCTGTCCTTGACTTTGCCTTCTTTGAGGAGCTGCTGTAGATGCGGAATGCTGATGTAGCCGAGTAGTGCGCGGTTCGTTTGAGAGATTACTGTGAGATGTGTGTAGTCGCGCTCAAGGCCGGACATGAGCGCCCATGATATAGGGTCCGAGGGTTGAATAGACAACGCAGGCGGGGGGTCGAGGTCCTCTACAGTCGCCTACAAATAATTAGACAAGATGCAGTTCATGCTCAAGAATACATACACCACGGTATTTGTCCGCCCACACTGCTGAGTAGTCGCCAGTAGGTGCGCCATTTGCGGTGGGTGCCTCAGTCGCCATGGTTTTGGTGTGAATGGCGGGGATGCTTGTTGCGCAACTTTCTGATCTGTGACGAAAGCTAGGGATGCAGATCTCCGGGTCCACGATTGCCTTGCGCTAAGTATGCGCGAACCGGGCTTTAGCGGGTAAGGCTTTTGCAGTATCCTGTACGTTACTGTTTCAGAACGTATGACAGAAGTTCTAGGCGGGTTGAGTGCACCTGCGCAAGTCTGCCGAAGCACGTATCCTAAGTGCATGCATTCACGCTATGTCTAGAACCTCGACTGTTGCTTTTCTTTCCATTTATCACGGTTGTGGCAATTTCATTTCCACGGCCAAAACGAAAACACATACAGTGTTCCTCAGGTCATGCTCAAAGGTTGGTTTTGCAGCGCTTAACAGTACACGTGATGGCTGGACCACTAGCGACAACCACAGGCCGCTCGTAGGAGCCGCCCGCTTCGAACACCATCAACACCCTCGCATCGCCCGCAGAAGAACATCTCGCATGTTCCACGCGCAAACCTTGGATAGCCATTCTGCATTCCTAATAATTATGCACCTCGCTACGACGACACGATGGCACTATTGACGCTCCACTGCCCCTCGATCGACCACATGCACCGGCCGAACGAACGACTATCGCATGCGTTGTACAAGCAACCGACTCGGACAGATACAATGATGAATACGCGCACAGTGTATCTGGGGCCTTGAAATCGGTTTTGAGCAGGGCCTCGTTTTGGCCCCCGTCCCTTGGCTCTTCGAAAGCAGCTTTAGATGAGCTCTTCCCAGCTGTTCTACGTGCAAAGGCCGCAGCATCAATCATGGCTACCTCACACCACGTCGGAAGAGCCCTGCGCATGAAGAATCTTTGCGACCTCTACATATCTGCAGAACACTAGCACTGGCCATTCGACAGTGTGGGAGCGAGTCACAATAAGACTTCGCTATGTGCAGTATTCCCACAAAACTGGACAACCCGATCGTCAGTCGAGTTCGAACCTGCAAGCCGAAGTGACAAGCGAGCGTGCCTCTGCAGCGAACTGTTGGCAAGAGATGGAAGATGCAGGTTAGGCTTATCGATAGTCAACGCGGATACGGAAACCCCCTGTTTCGGACCGTGATAATCCGGGGCAGTCTTCAATTTGGAGGCCCCATATTCAGTCCTGCTTAAGGATATGACCGATTCTGTATTCTCCGTTAAGTACACCTAATGCTCAACGGACAAGCATACCTTGTCGTCCAGTATCCTCAAGACATCCTAGGCACTACGGAGCCACGGCCAAAACTGAACCCTATAACGTAGCTCTGGATATTGCTGCCAAGGCTGAAATCGTGTTCTTCACGTATGCCCGTTGTTGCGCTTGTATTACCATGTGCAGGGTGGTGGTATATGTGCACTCCTCTGCATGTCGTATCTTTGAGGTCTTCTCTCAGTATTCATTTCTCACTACATCTTATGCAGGCAGGCCTTTGTTCTCAAGACGTCTTTGCTTACGTAGGCAAAACATACCAACAACTGAAGCAAAGAGACGGAACGTGAGCGATCTTCATAAAGCTGAGGACTTGTTCAAGCTGGCCCAAAGCAATGGTATCACAAGCTTTTAGGTGGCTGGATAAACGTTCCGGATTGTTGGGATCATCCCAAAAGGGCCAGCGAGCCTTCACACATCAGAAAATTGATACAATCCACAGTGTTGTATCCCCGAGAGTAGAATTCGACTAGCTTGACCTTTTCAACGGTAGGCTCCTTGTTATCCACCCTGGAGACATCATTACGAATAAGGTTGAGGCAGATACATCAAACCCTCACGCTGGCTCGACTGCAAATGGGCTGCTTATGCCACTCGGACGAGGTAACATCCACATCTGCAACGAGGTTTGGTTGCGCAGGGGAGGAGCCGTTGTGATAGGGGGACAATAGGGTTGCAAATGCAGCGCGCTTTGTCTTCAGGATAGAATCCGGATATCTGGTAGAGCAGGTTGGATTACAGTGAGTGTTTCTTTGTTATCTTCAACACCAGTCGTATTTAAGCTGACGCATTCTAGTAGTAGCCGAAATGCAAAAATACCCTGACAAGTCTACCTGAGCAAGTCCGAAACCCCGCAGCTCAGCGTTCTGACTTGGTGCCACCCAACATAGCCATTTACATCTTGTCATCCTCACAGAACGAGTGTCATCAGCTAACAGCAAGTGTATAGACCTGACAAAGCGAGAAAGAGCTAGGAAGTGTGATCTCGGCGGGTGTCGCTACTACCAACAGTTTGCGCTCTTACCTCCAGAGCTCCGTCTAGCTCATCATTGGCGGCCTGGCAGTCACAACCGATCGACTACTCAACCACTCACCTCAGCTCAAGAAGATAACAAGGACACTAGCAAAAGAGCTGCGCCGACGAGGGAAGGCCATTACTTTCGTATCATCTCCAAGCGTCGTGCACAAGTATCAGAACGGTGGGTTTGCTTGGCCGGAGGCGCGGCTGCTCTCAGGGCTGTACTCCTGCACGGACCCAAGTCATCGCATCGCGCGAATTCCTTCCACCACCCAGCAAACACGTCACACTCGCTGCAACATTATCAAATCCTCAGTGGTGCCTGAACGAGCGACAGAGAAATACCTCAAACTTCTCCGAACACGATAGCCCGCGTGGTGCGTGCAGGCCGAAGAACGTCACGTGTTACGCCTGGCGTTGCTGGAAAGTTCAAGAGTTGCGTCTCCGATCTCTTCTTCGCCCTCCCCACACCACCACAATACGACCCAACCACCTCACCCACCGCGCACCATCGACCAACCTGGTCAACCATCAATCACGCGGTATAGCCATCGCCCCCAACACATCGAAGAGGTAATTCGCGAATCTGCGCCTCCCTTACGCGTCGACACGACATCATACAAGCGTGAGCTCGACTCGCACAATGGCCGAGGAAGCCAACCCACCCGTGTCTGCGGATACCACGAACACTGTCGACGAGCCGACGCGTTCTACAGACGCTGTAGCGGAGCCTGCTGTTGCTGAGGCAAAGCCGGCTGAGGACGGTGTCGTAGCCACCTCAGGCGTCGCCGAAGGTAACAACTTACTTGTGCGCAAACAACCGAAGAGGCATTAGCTAACGCGATCGCAAATTAGTTCCCGAAGATGACAGCGCGCAAAAGGACGACGCTGAGAAGGAGGACACCACTGCTGACGCGCAAGCAGAGCCATCTGCAGCTAGCGATGACGCAGGTAAGTGCAGCCACACTTCTCTTCGAATCCCAGACCTCATGAACATTGCCAATACATCACGTTTGCATTCTGACACGCTATTTTAGATGCTGCCCCTGCCTCCGACGCGCCAGTAACGAATGGCACCCCAGCACCGAAGAAGGCTGCAAATGGAAAGCGCAAGTCAGGCGCAGGTGTCCCCGAGCACAAGAAGAAGACACCGGCCAAAAAGGGAAAGAAGGAAGTCAAGCTGCGCCTAGACGTGTCGCCTGGTGACATGTTCATGGTCGCCATGCGCGGTTACCAGCCATGGCCAGTCATCGTTTGCGATGAGGAGATGCTCCCGGAATCGCTCCTCGTCAAGCGTCCTGTTAGTGCTAGGCGCATTGACGGCACATACCGCGAAGACTTCCTCGAGGGCGGTAAAAACGCCAAAGACAGAAGATACCCAATTATGTTCTTGGGCACCAACGAATTTGCATGGCAAGTTAACACTGATTTGTTGCCATTCGACATCGAAGAGGTGAAGAAGGACGTAGATTCCGGCAACCAAGGGAAGAAGAACAAGCAACTCTGGGAAGCGTACCAGGTTGCCGCTAAAGGTTATGATCTGGCACACTTCAAGGAGATGTTGAGTGCCCATGAATCCGCCATGCAAGAAGATCAGGAGCAGAAGGATCAGAAGAAGCAGGCGAAGGCCGAAAAGGCTGCCAAGCGCAAGAGCACAGCCCCGGACTCTGAAGACGTTGAGATGGGAGACGCTGACGAGACCGCTCCTTCCGCTAAGAAGGCTAAGGCCACCAAGAAGCGTAAGAAGGGTGACGAGAGTGATGGTGAGAACGAGAAAGTATGAATCACGATCCTCGATTGTTTCACATCCGTTAATTCTTTAACAGGCTGCAAAGACTCCCAAGACCAAGCTCAAGCTGACCACGAAGACGCCAAAGGATGCATCAGCAGCGAAACCAAAGAAGGAACCCAAGTCCAAGAAGAAGTCTAGCGAGGAAGCTGTGGATCCAACCCCAGAGGAGCCACCTATGACCGAGGAGGAGCGGCTACTGAAGCGCGAGAAACAAGTTCTATACCTCCGCCATCGCTTGCAAAAGGGTTTCCTCTCGCGCGACCAAGCACCCAAGGACGAAGATATGGCGAGCATGTCTGAATACTTAACACAGTTAGAAGCCCATGAGGATCTGGAGGCTGAAGTAATCAAGAAGACCAAAGTTCATAAGGTCCTGAGGGCGATCATGAAGCTCGAAACTATCCCCATGGAGGGAGAGTTGAACTTCAAGAAGCGCTCGGCAGATCTACTCAACAAGTGGAGTGGCGCTCTGGCTTCCGAGTCTGAGCCAACTGCTACCAATGGCGTCAAGGGCGAAGAGCGGGAGAAGTCAGAGTCTGCCAAGGAGGAGGCGCCCTCTGTCGAGAAGGCCACAGAGGGACTGAAGATCGACGACACTACCACCGAAGCTGCTGCCACGAAGACTGCCGAAGAGGACGGCGACGTACACATGTCAGAAGCCGACAAGGACGTCATTAAGGACGCACCCGCAGCGCAAGCGGAGGCCGAGAAAAGTGGAGATGGTGCTGAGAAGGCTGCTGAGCCTGAGGCAGCAGCTGCAACTACGGAGACTGCTTCCACCTAGATGCAATGCGTCTGAGTAATGAGCCGAGAGTTACCTTCACTATCTGGTTTTGTAGCAGCCGTTCGTCCTATAATGGCTTGATTGCGATACTGAAGCGTAACGGGGTTCGCTGGGTTGTCTGGGCAGGCCTGAGCGAAGTGCGTCGACCGGCGAGCACCAGCTTCCATGTTTTGAGCGATTTTGCCGTATGTGTATATATAATGCTGGAATAGCATGATTAGTGGGGTCTGACAAGGAGACACGGGCTTACATTTGGGAAATGCGCCTTCTTTCATGGGTTTTCGAAGATGAGTGTAGGTGCGGCGGAGTAAAAGACTGTTTTAGCAATCGAAAACAATTGAAAATACCTTACCATCACCTCGCTATCGTACTTCGCATTGACTTTATTTCATGATTTCTCCTATCTCTGTTCTCCACGCGTCTACATCATCGCATCCTGTGGCGCGCATCGCGTGGAGCAGCCCCATCATGGCCCCGCTATCATTATGACGTACTCTTCGCGTTGAGCTCCATAACAAAACCAAAGACCCGGAAAGCTCATCACAGCATTCAACAACACTCACGAATTATAAACACTTGACAAAACCACGCTCAATATAGCAACCAGTCCCTCAAACAATATCAAGATGGCCAGCGCAACTAGGAAAGACCTCCTCAAGAAGGTCTACAACATGGTACCGCCCATGCTTGAAAGCTTCCACAAGGGTACGGACATGTGACAATAGTCAACGAAAAAGAGTCTAACTTGCTTATACAGGTCAATTGGGTCGCGTAGCTGTTATCGGCGGTAGTGAAGACTACACTGGCGCGCCCTACTTCTCTGCTATGGCATCCGCAAAGCTAGGTTGTGACATGGTAAGAATACACATATATCTTTACAACAAACAACTTGCTCAACTTCCTGCAGTCTCACGTAATCTGCGAACCCGGTGCCGGTGCGGTGATCAAGACTTACTCTCCCAACCTCATGGTGCATCCATACATGCGTCAATCGAAGAACCTCGCCAAGACCGAAAGCGCAGAGAGCATCACCTCAGAAGTCGTTAGCATGCTATCACGCCTACATGTTATCGTCATTGGTCCCGGCCTTGGTCGTGATGAGCTCATGCAAAACACCTGCGCACAGGTTATCCAGGAGGCAAGGAAACAAGGCATTCCGTTCGTGCTGGACGCAGACGGTCTCTACCTTGCGCAGACAAGACCGGAGCTTGTGGATGGCTGCACCGAGTGTATACTCACACCCAACGTTGTTGAGTTCGGAAGGCTAGCCAAGGCTAAGGGTGTAGATGTCAATGAAGGCGATCCTTCAGAGCTCTGCGCCAAATTGTCAAAGGCTTTTGGCGGCGTCACCATTATTCAGAAGGGCTCCAAGGACTACATATCCAATGGCTCGCACACACTCGTATCCGAGGGTGAGGGTGGTCTAAAGCGCTCTGGTGGCCAAGGTGATACTCTTACCGGCAGTTTGGCGACCTTGTTGGCATACAGGAAAGCATACCACGACAAGATCTGGGATATCGGAACCGAGATGTCGAGGAGTGAGACACTTGCTCTTGCAGCATATGGTGGATCATGCATTACCAGGGAGTGCTCGAAGCTTGCATTCAAGGAGAAGGGCAGGTCGCTACAAGCCAGCGACTTGACTGAACATGTGCACACTGCTTTCTTGAACGTCATCGGTGAGAGGGAAGAGACTCCTAACTTGTAAGTTGGGTATGGCAACATTGGGGTTGGAAAAAGTTAAATTTTGATGGCAAGCATATCTGGTGCCAAAGATTGGCAGTAATACATAAATGAGCGGAACAAGCTGTATAAATACATGTTTTCAATACTCGATCTTCGTATTGTTGAACGAATTATTCGTTCGATAAAGCGTATACGTGTCCAAAACTGCCATGGTGTGTTTCCTTGGTACACAATCCGGACATCTCGAGATTCTGATTTGGATGAGGACAAATTTCTTAGGAAATATTTTACGAATCAGAGGAGGGTCCGGAGAGGGTCATCCTGATCGAAACTACATGTGAACCTCTAAGCAAGATCTGAGATAGACGCATTGAGAAGGCGTAGTACTCAAAGAGCTGCAAAACGTCACTCGCGAGCAACGCACCATGATCTTTGATCATGTCCACGATACATGCAGCATACTGCTTCCACGGGAGTATCCGAATAGAATGAGCGCGTATGTATGCAGGACATCTGGAAATAGATAATGGACAAACTAGAGATGCTTTGAGTATTGAAGCTTAGTTTGGTTGGGCTGGTGAGGCTCAGCAACTGCGCATATGCAAGGGGTGATACAAGACGGTCGTACGCCGCGAACCTGCACCCAATGTAAGCAATCCTCATCAAATCCGGGATTAATGGCTTGACGTCGGCGGACAGAGTAGTTCCTGTCTAGGTAACTATTCGTGCTTCGCCTCTGTCGGATATCTCCAAGGCTTCCTTTGTCTACTAAAATATCGGAATGCATTTGCATGTTCGTCTGTGCAACAACAGCACCAGTGTAGCCATGGGTAAACAAAGAGAGACTTTAAGCAGCTCTGCAGTTACCATACTTCATATGTGCATTCGAGTACTCACCACTACACTTCTCCATTGTATTTGTTAGACCATGGAACACGCTGCAGAGGATTACTATGACATGCCCGTCGAAATGCTGCCGTCTGCAAACTTTGCAGGCCGGCCTACAAGCGAGATCAGTACGAGCATGCTTGATGGTCTTTGGACTATGATGTTTTCCTCGGCCTCGAATTCCGAAGATGAAGTGGAGGATGACAACGATACCACACTGCAACTACGAACACCTCCGAGATCACCACCTTCGCACGGGCAACCAGAGTCACCAGAAACACCAACGATTAGAATGGCGTCGCCGCCGCTCAAAGATAACCTTAGACTGTGGAGGAGAAGCTTCAGCAACAAAGTCAATGTCACAGATCAACCTCGATTACGGAAGAAGTCACAGACAGCACCTCCAGGCGTCTTCGAAGCATTGATTGCGCCAGCACTAGAACCGCGACGAGCGATCAGTGCAAGGCTGACCTATACGAAAACGATCAGGAGAGGGAAACCGAGGCCGTGTGATAGGTTCGCGAACTGTTTGGATATCAGAGAAGCCTCTAGCAACGAGCGATTGGGACCGCGCAAGGCACTACCCAAACCACCATGCCAGGGTGATGAGGCCACCATCTTGTCTGAAATGAGGCATGATCCCGGATCTCTCTCCGATAAAGCACGAGTACAAGAAACCTTGAAACAGAAGCAGCTTAGGACGTTAAACACAGCTCTGGCGGACTTTGAGTCAAAGAAATTACCTACCTCACCAAGCTCGATGCTGTCAACACCACGAGAATGTTACGCGATACCAAACCAGCTTGCGACAAGTGAAACTTTAGGTAGTCCACACTCATCTCGCTCGTGGGGTCGGAAATCAGTCAAGTCGGTCAAAACCATTATTCATCAAAAAACCCACTCGCCCTCGTCCGCACGGGCAAACGTAGAAGGCCGCCGTACGCTAAAGCGCAAGCACAACTATGGAGACGTTGACGCGGCTGAAAGGCGGAGAGTTTATCTACCCGGGGCGATTATGCTGGCGGCGCATCCAGCTAAGCTCCGTAGAGACTCTGTAGCAACGCTTGATCCATTTACGTTTGACCCCAAGCTAGACTCACCAGGAAGGCGAATATCGGATACCGTTGGGCTGGATGGCATAGTCATGTTTTTCGAGGAATTCGGTGTGGTTGGGAATGTTACTGAAGTCACCTTTGACCAGTACTGGTTACGAGAAAGTCTAATCATGAGCGACGACATGGATGAAGGGATGCAGGACATGGCCACGCGCAAGGCAAGCGTTTGTAGCGTGGAGGAGACAGGGCCAATATGCCATGGTGTCGCACAGAGTCCTCCCCAGGAAGAGGGCCTGAAGTCCAAGTTCTCGTCCGCGTCATCTACGGTTTCGATGCATCCACCAGAGAAACGTAAGCGCAGCAGGCTGAGAGGACTGCTGTCACCAGGCCTTCCTGGCGCAGCCTTCCTCAAGTCCCCTGCGACTTGGGGACAACAGATGGAAAGTTGGTGACCAAGTTAGCAACAGCATAGATTGAATCAATCAAACCTTACGGGAAATGAGCCGCGTAACGCGATTCAGGCTGGGGTACCTAGGTACCTGGGGGTGATGCTCTGCCAAGGTGTAAATCGCGATGAGGACACCAACCCTAACGGGTAGTTCACGACACATGGGCTGGCGGTTGCCAGTATGGGAGACGATCATTGAGCCTGGACTCTTCAATTGCTGACATGGCTAACGGAGTCGAGAAAACTGACGGCGATCCGCCGTTTCCGCGATTCGCGTGCCCTTGAGCGATGACGACTGATGGCTGGCGATTCAGCCGTGCGGCAGACGGATTGGGATTAACAGGGTGATTGGCGCGACGCCAGAGAAAAGATGTGTGGGCTACGCCGCTGCCACTGACAGCACAGTTTGCCAAATGCGAAAGCACGCATGAAACCTGGTGGTCCTTCACCGAGTGTGGGTTCACGATAGGGTCGCACTGGGTAGACCCCAGGATCGAGCAGCCAGGGTCGGCTCATTGGTTTCCGTGCGTCAGAAGTGAGGCAGCGAATGAAAATTGCGGCCGGCCCCTTTGGCCCAATAACACATCAGACCATGGCCAGCGATCGCCAACGAGGATGGCCCTTCTGAGCCCAGCTTGGCCCTCTGTCCACCGCTCAGCGCGGGCCGCAGTCGTCAGACGCTCTCCGACACGAGCCAGCGCATCGCTCGTCCCCCATGCTCTGAGGTGGTGCTAAAAGCACATGCTCCCCTTCTCAACCCGCACTCTCACTTATTCATCGCCTCGCTATCCTCAGAGACCCCAATCTGCCTCTTTCTTGACAATCACCGCCCATCACCACCGTAAGATCTTCCTGCACAGACGATCTCTTGCTTTGGCCGTTGTTGCTGATCACCGTCCCTCGTGCAGCTTGCTTCTTACACCGCTACCAACCGCTACCACTATTTTTTTTTCTCCTGCCGCGCCATCCCACTACCCCTCAGACGTCATGGCCTCGACTCTTTCGAATAGCAGTAGCAGTAGTAGTAGTAATACCTACGTCGACTTCCTCGAACAGGCCAAGCGCAACTTCTGCCTGAGCAACGCACATCTCTCGCACGAGGAGCTGAACCGCGCCTGGTTCCAGGCCGCCTGCCAAACCTCACAACCTTCCATGGCCCACGAGGTACCACGCTCAATGGCCTTCAACGCGTCAGACATGACTCAGCTCCCAGTATGGACTACCTTTGGTCTGCTCGTCCCTCATCTAACCCACACCAGACTACCGGCTTCGAGTCCATGGACCGTACCCGCTCGGCTCCTGTCATGAACCGCTCAGACTCGGCCATGGCCAGCGGTCTCCAGCGCTCAAACACTACGTACTCTGACTGGCAGTCAATGCCCCAAGAGCAAAATACCGACTACACGCTCTACTCTGACTCTTCAATGCGAAGACAGCCGACTCTCCAGTCGGTGCCAGAGACTGCTTACAATAGCATCGCTGAGTACAGCGTTGGCGACTACGTCAACAGCTGCATCCAGCCAGACAACTCATCCCTCCCCACCCCCCAGCATTCACAACAGTTGCAACTGACACCAAACCTGCAGTGGAGTTCGTCTTCGGATGTCTCTTCACCCAGCACGCCGTCAACAGCTCTGATGACTCCTGTTACTCAATCTAGTAACATGAGTCGTCAGGGTAGTTACAACCCTTTGTTTTTTGATAACATTTCCATGTCGCGCAACCAGTCAAATTCTTCATGTATGCCCATCCTCCCAGAGGATGGGTCTTTTCCTTTTTCCTTTAACGTCGCATCAAAGCCCATCAGCGAGTCCGCTGATGGTTCTCATTTTCTCAACTTCACTGGCTCCTCCAGTGAAGCTTTCCTTTCTTCATCTATTCCTGCAAGTGCTACACTTGCCTCTTCCGACAACGATCAGTCGTGCCTGGCGGAGGATATGCGGAGGTCGACTTCAGCTTCATCAAGCGAGGGTTATTCGAGCGAGATCTCTGCATCTTCATTGAATAGCTCTCGTCAATCGCAACGCGAACGCGAGATCGTTGCGCAAGCTGCGTCTCGCAAGATTGCTCCGAAGGCGATCGACAACAATGATAAGACCGAGTCTGCGTCATCCAATGCTCAGATGACAAGGATAAGGTCTGAGGATGGTTCCTCTAAGACTGTCGGTGTTCTGTCAAAGACACCGTACGTGCGCCCTCAACATCCAAAGATCAAGTGTAATTTCTGCAACGAGCGACCCGATGGGTTCCGTGGCACTCATGAGCTTGACCGTCACATTGCTCGTGCCCATGCCTCACGCAGGAAGGGCTACATCTGCGTCGACTCTTCAGCCGACAAGAAGTTCCTTGCCAATTGTAAGCACTGCCGTAACAAGAAGGTGTACGGCGCGTACTACAACGCTGCCGCTCACCTTCGACGTGCGCACTTCCATCCCCGCAAGAGGGGCAGGAAGGGCAAGAACGACGAGAAGCGTGGTGGCATTGGTGGCGGAGACCACCCTCCTATGGAGTATCTCAAGCAAAACTGGATCAAAGAGGTGGAAGTCGACAACAAGCCCACCCCGCAATCGCCAGAGAGCCAATCCGACAATGATGCGGCCGAGCAGATCGACAACTCCTTCGACGCTCCCTCTTATGAGATTGACAATACTGCTGTCCCCGCCGCGGCTGCCGCCTACCCCGCGTCACAGCAACCTCTGCCTATGCAGGTCCCCATGCCCATGCCAGTACAGATGATCAACCAAGTCCCTGTAGACTCAACCCAGTTTAACATGGACTATGGTATGAGTATGCATGCGAGTGAGCCTATGGTCTTCGACAACACTGCCTTCTTCGACCCCAATCTCCCTGTCTCGACCGACATGAGTAACTTCCAGTTCGACGCGTACATGGGTCCTCCCATGTAGGCACTTCTTCTTCTGCCTCCTTCTCATCCTCTTTCTCCTTGGCTCCTTGAGCCGCTGATGTATATAACGTTGGGCTTGGGCTTTGCTTTTTGTCTTTGGAGTTTGATGCCTGAGACCACCAGCTCGTCTTCCTATGGAGCGGCTGTGGTAGGTCCGCATCGTGGCGTTTTCGTACATTTTTCTCACGCTCGCGTCGTATATGATCGAGGTTGCTTGCAGCGTTGCTTTATTTAGCTGATAGAGAAAGAGGGAGCACTCCGCGAAGCCGTGCTGCTAGGGAGATAGACGTTTGCATCATGCATCGATGTCGTTATCATACCATTAATGCCTGTGTGTGGCTTCTGCTACCGGGCTTCGAAGAAAGTAAAATATAGAATAACTAAAATCTACACGCATGATTGACTGTGACGTTTGACAAGACCCTTGACGCCTCTGCCATCGACAATGCACCCATCCTCGCATATCTTTGCATACTCACCAACCGCGTGATACTTGCCCACATCGGATCACATCACGATCGTTGTGCGTTGCTGCGCTAGTCAGTACTTCACGCATCCCCTTTCTTTCCTTTAACGATTATTATATGCATATGCACAACATAGCACAATAGATACCCCGTCTTACTAGATGTTCCGTACCAAGACATGTCATTTCTGATATCCACTTCACCCAGACATCGCCCCGCAGGCGCAATATGCCCATTACGAGACATGCTGGGGTCCTCTGAGTGCATGGACGCAATTCAATATTAGATGTATATACTCAATGAATCACGCATGTAGACTCCACAGAGCTGTTTTGCGTAAGTTGGAAGAGAGTCTATGTTCGGAAAGTAGATGTACATATGTGATGGTGGATCTGATCAAGAAAGAATCTGTAAAGTGGGAACACCGCTAGATTGATAAGCGCACGTGTGCATTGTTGACAAAACAACATAGGTCTGCATAGGATGCTCTTGCTGTTGTCGCTTTCGCTGTCTATATCAAGACCAACCGTTTGTTGAGTCCTTAACTTTATGCTTTGACAATCATCCGATGGCCCACATATGTCGAGATATAGCCTGTGCCCGACCTTTGACAAGAAAGGCCTAGTAGCTAGAGTTGGGGTAGTTACCACCGCCCTGACTCGAGTTGTCGACGGGGTTTGCGGGTCCACCAGTCTGACCCAATGCGCCGCCAACTTGTGTCGCCTCACCCTTTGACTGTTTGATAGCATCTCTTGCTTCAGCCTGCTCGGCCTTCTTCCTGTTCAATCGTTAGTATGATTTTCCAATGTAACTCAGTCCAGAGCAGGAGTGTCTACCTGTCCAAGTCACTCGCCAAATCAGGCTGTTCTCCACCACCACCCATACCCTTTCCTCCCTTAGCTACTGCATCCGCAACGCGTCCCTCACCTGGTGCAGCCATTTGTTGTCCGTCTAGCTCCTTATGCCTTCCTACATCTTCATGACCCAGACCTTTTCTCTCTTCACCCGCTGGTGCGCCGTGTACACCCATGCCTTCCTCGAACTTTGCGTTCCGTAGTCCTTCGGCATCGGTAGCTTGTTTGGTGGGGATACGTTGGTCAACACTGGCTGAGTTGTCGGCGGCGTTGAATTCTGTTTGGACTTGCTCTTTTGGGTCTTTTTGCGCTGGGTTGCCAGGTGTGGTGTAGGCTTGGTCTAGGGAAGGCTGCGAGGGGCCTTTAGGATCGAGACCGGACATGTTGGGATTGGTATATGTGGTTATGGTGGATGTGTAAGTGAAATATCAATCTGCAATGGAATCAGACAGAATGTGAGATTGAAGACAGGGTGTAATTGGGTTTCTATACGGGAATTCAAGCTGAAGCTTGGAGGACATTGTTTTGGCTATCTGCCATTACTATGACGTCTGCGGGGTGGGCCCGTCATTCATTCTTGCCCCACCCGCGCGCGCTCCCGTCATGTGAGAACGCGGAAAACAAACGTCTGGGCCGCGTTTTAGTCCTTGATTGTAGTAATCGGTATCAGTGCGGGAGGACTAAGTGCGTGATCGGTCCCAAAGCCTGCGTGCTGGAAATACCAGTGTGATAAGGCCCGTACACTTCACTCAGCCATCCCAGACTCACTTGCTTATGGTTCGCAGGAAGTGACAGAATGCTGGTACCAGAGTTTTGGATGTGATGTGATATATGTTGGAGATAGATGCGCTTTAAGTTTGATGGGCCGTGGCCGTGTGGTACCTGAGCACACGAGCTCAAATTGCGAAATGACGCGAAGCACCCTGTGAGCTACAAAGCCCGCTGCCCAACAGCCCTGATATTTCATAACGCCGTAAAAATGATTCGTGCCCAAACGCCTTCGCTATGCTTGTATGATGGACAACCAGGTATCACTCCGTTTCCATAACCACGTCTTCCGAGGGCTCTCTGGTCTCGACGTGATTTGTCGTCTCGCGGCTCTCCCGTTTCGACTCTGCTGCTTTGGCGGCTCTCTCCCGGGTTCTGCGATTCCACTCCTCTATCGATTCCGCGCCTCCCCCTTCGATTTTGATGGTCTTAGGCTCGGCTGGAACTCCAAGAACAGTGCCTTGGAAGCGTGATTCGACGCCGGTCTTGCTGTGTTTCTTCATGAGGGCTGGGAAAAGCTGTTAGTGGACCTGCAGCCGTGATACGCGGTATTCAGACATACTATTCAAATAGTCCTCCATTTCTTCCTGATCCAACTGCTCCGTTGGGTTCGTCGCTACGGGCTTGTAGATGCCTGCTATGCGCCTAATCTCTTTGTTCTGATCGCCCTTGACCCATTCGATGAATTCGGTCACGTCTGCTGTATCCTTGGCGTCGCGCCGAGCTGCCTCGTTCTCGCGGGCACCCGTCTCTTCGTTGTACTCATCGAGGGGTTTGCGCAGTATCTCTTTCCATAGCTCTTCCCCTGCTGTCATGGTCGGCACGAGGAGGGCGCAGTCCTGCATCGCCATGCGCACATCACTAACGTCTGGCGTGAGGTCGTTGTGATTTGAAAAGGCATTGTAGGCTGTTCGTTCTGCCAGTAGTGATAAGTATCGGGCTGTGAAGTCTACAATGGTGTCGACAGCCGAAGGTTTGCCATGCTGGAAGCCCGTCGCGCGTAGAATATGGAGGACGGCGGGCCGCAGCAAGTTAAGAAAGAGGTCGTTCTGGGACATGCTTGCATTCACGTGAGTGAGGTGAGATGCAGAGGTCCGGTGGGTGTCGTGCTGTTACGGTGGAAACAGCAGGCGCATTGTGGTATTGTTTCGGCGCAGTAGAGTGTAGGGAAGGTGAAGGGACGCGATGGGAAAGCTTTGGCCCTTCACCATGGCGGCTGCCAAGACCGAGCACCCATGGAATGTGAACGACTCCGACTCACCTACTCCAGCTTCCACACCACCGCGCACTCTCGCAAATGTCGCGCTCACACGCGCGTACTCGAACATCGCCGTCGTGAACAACAAGTCCCTACGTGTCGTCGTCCAAGATGAAGCTCAAACTCAAGAACCCGAACGCCGCTCCCAGCGATGCGCCGCCCTCAGAACCTCCCCCGTCCGACGCGCCTACACCCGTTTCCGCAAAACCAGGAGGCCTTAAGATCAAGTTGAAGCCCGCAGCCCCCGCGGCCGGTGAGCCTGCGGATAGCCAGAATGGCGAGGCCAAAGTGAAGCGCAAGTACACCAAGAAGCCCAAACTCGACGAAAGCGGTAATGTCATTCCCCCGGGAAAGCCTGGACCCAAGAAGAGAGCACGCGAAGACGGCGGCGATGATTTCGATTCACCCGCCGCCAAGCGCAAACCGAAGCCTACCGCGAAGAGCCTCGCCATGGCTAACGATACCGACGACGAGGACGACTACACCGCGGTCGAACAACCTCCACCACAGCCCATCAAGTCGCACAATCGCACTCAATCTATCAAACTCTCCATCAAACCGAAGGGAGCCATGGGCTCGGCGAGACCCAGTACTGCTATCCTCAAGGTCAAAGGTGCGGGAAAGCCGCCAGTCAGACCATACGGTGTCGGTTATGACAGTGAAGCAGAGGAGGCGGAACCCGACCCAGCGATCGAATCGCAGTTTGTGCTGCGCATGAAGCCCGGCCCAGACTGCGATCTTCTGCGCAAGTCCATCGAGGAGAAGACTATCGGCAAGAGCGTATCGCAGGGAGGGCCCGGCGTACACTTCCGATTCTTCGACCGCGAGGGTCGGCGAGCCATGCTCACTATACAGAACCGCATGTACGCTGCGACCATGGTCGAGCTCCCCGCAGTCATAGAGTCGCTGAAGAGTTGGAACAAGAAGGATTGGGTCAAGACCGCAGACGTATGCCAGATGTTACTAGTTTTGGACGAGGTTAAGAACGAGGACGAAGCTAGGAAGTTCCCGCTTCCTTCCTATATCTCTCCAGACACCCATCGGTTTCCCCATGGTCTGACACCACCCATGAAGTGGGCTCGCAAACGGCGTTTCCGCCCTCGCAAATCATACATTGATGTTGAGCGAGCCGAGGCGCAGTTGAATCGACTAATAGAGAATGATGCGACTGCAGTGTCAACAAAGTACGAGATGGTAGATAGTGAGGCAGAAAGCTCAGAGGAGTCAAGTTCTGAAGAGGAGGTCGATGACGATGAAGAGATGGCAAATGCTACCCAAGTGGAGGAAATGGATGCCGACCAACTGGAGCAGATGCTTGCTGAAGGACTCATGGATGACGAGGTTGAGTTCCAGGGCGACAATGATCAGCTCAACGCCTTGCTCGCTGGTAACAACAATGTGCAAGTTGAACAGGTCGACACTCCTACGACCGCTCACGATGTCGCTATGCACGCTCTGGGCCATAACGGCAACGTCGTCGAAACTGAGACTGCGGCTTCTACTCCAGCAGCAGCGACATCTGCAGACGACGATGATGACGATGACGATGCAGATTCTGATGAAGACGTCGATGAGGTGGATGAAGCCGCGGCGGCTGAAGAGCAACGTCAAGAGCAACTCCGGGGTGAGATTGCAGAGTTGGAGAGGGCTATTGTTCAGAGCACAGAAGCGCGCGACAGGCAGACCAACGTCCTCTTCAAGAAGCGTGTGCAAACCCAGATCGATAAGCAGAAGGCCGATCTTGCAATCAAGCGTAAGCAGCTCGGAAATGAGGAGGCGGATGAATAAACGGACCTCCTCCTAGACTTCGGTCTTCTTGGGTCATGAAGTTTGGGTAGTATGTTTCAACAGAGACGGTAGCATTGCGATGGCGTTCTTACGGGATGTAGAGCATTCATGTGGCGTTCTGGGGACTAGCAATGCAGCGGTTATGGTTCTTTATCGATTATTCTCTATTTCAACTACTGTTTCTACAATTGTAGCATGTGTTCAAACCAAGGCACTTTACCTAGCTATATACAACCACTCGCAAGTACATGTACCCAGCAATTCTGGAAGAGCCTTCTACAGTGTGGGAACCAGATTACGACTGTCATGTTCATGCAAAAGTCTTGCAGCATCAAAAGTGCATCATGCAGAATCATAGTTAATCAGCCAGCGTCTTTCGTAAACTGTTAGAGATCACAATCACATCAGCATGATCAAGTGTTCAGATGAACGATTAACGGAGTTGATTTCTCAGCATCTCCAAAACGGGTATATACAAAACAAGGAAACCGTGTGCGACTAGAGTTAGACCGCCATTCGTAAAAGCCATTTACAGGTTCGTGCCAGAGCCAAAATACAAAGCGCCTATGCTAACAAATGGGACGCCTTTTGGGAGAATGCGACGCTTGAACGCGCAAAGAGAGGGGGTAATAAGAAGGTAGCCAAAAGCAGGCAGATGCAACAACGAAGAAACCTTTCGAGATGGAAACCCAGCGCCAAGTTATCATGATAGTGAAAAAACAGAACAAGGAGAACAAAGCGTTGCTGTCCAAGAACAGAAAATGCTGATACTCAAAACGGAGCATCAAGAATAACCACATAGTTAAACAACAAAGAAAAGATCAGTCACTCTCCAGTAACTGTCTGATCTTCTCGTAAAAACTTGCGGGATACTGACGAATCTCATCATCAGTAGGAGGGCTTTTGTTCGGATCCCTAAACCGATCCGCGACTCTTTGAATGATCTGACCGAGCAACTCCTGCGGTATCCTGAGGTCATCGCCGCCATCGGGGTACAGAAAAGGATCTCTTTCGTCCAAGAGTTGAGCGACGTTTGGTCGACGCGAGGCGTCGCGTTGCAAGCAGCGACGAAGTGTCGCTTTGAGACCAGGAGGGACACGAACATCACCGACACCGAGATCGGGGATTTCGATCTTGTAGTCGCGATTGACGATGGCGAGGACACGCGCCATCTGGTTTGTAATGTGTGCGAAAGGAGGACGGCCGTAGACCATTTGATAGAGGATACAGCCAAGACTCCAAACGTCAGAAGGTTTCCCTAAAGCCATGTCTTTGGAGCCGTTGCCGTTAGACAAGAGGCCTCGGGCGCCGCCAGCGGAGTCTTCGAGCGATTCTGGTGACATGTAGTTTGGAGTCCCAATGTGTGAATCCCGGTGCACGTTTACGGTGTGGTCAACTTCGATGGCGTTTGCAATGCCGAAATCGATGAGCTTTAAGCGGCCCGAGGTAAGGAGGAAGTTTGCGGGTTTGAGATCTGAGTGGACAATGTCGTGATCGTGAACTGCTCCGACGCATTCGAGCATTTCCTTCCAGTAGTAACGTGTAAAGCTCAGGTCTAGTTTGCCATCGCCATCGGCCGGGTCGAGTTTCATCCGTATTATGCGTGCGAGATCCGATTCTCCGAGTTCCATGAGCTGGTAGATGTTAGTGTTGTGCTTTGCCTTCTCTCAGAGTATACATACCACACTGAGCACCTGCCGTTGCTCGTCCACCTCCCAATCGTATAGTCTCACAACGCGATCAACGTTCTTGAGCTTCTGGAGCAGGTCGATCTCGCCCTTGAAGCCTCGCACGGTGGCCTCGTCTGCATCTTCAAGCTTGACTCTCTTCAGTGCCAATAGCTTGAAATTCTCTGCCATGACACGGTAAACAGCCGAACTGCCTCCTCGTCCGATCCTGTCCATTTGGGAGTAATGCTTCCCGTTGACGGATAATGTGCTCCTCTTCTTTCTCTCCCTCGTCTTTGTTGTCGCCGCTCCGGCCGCAGTGGTCGCCGTCTCCAGCACTGACATCTTCGGGGGAGGTGGAGGTGCTGGTCTTCGCGGTGTGTTCGCGTCGAGCGCCTGGAGTGGCCTTTGTTTCTCTTGCTGCTGCGATGATCGTTGTATGGGTGACTGGTGCTCTGGAGGTGGTTGCATGTGGCGATCCTCTGCCACCTTCATGACAGAGCCGGTAACCTTCAGGACAGAATCGGGCACGTTCTCAGGCTGCGCCTTGACTGCTGAGATGGGCATGTTTTCTTGGTCTTGAGAGGGATGGTGCTCTTCTTCGCTCTGAGGTGTCCTCCGAAATCTCCTCATGGGCGCACCCCGTAATGGTACTCTCTTTATTCGCAAACTTGGTGCAGGTGTGACGGTATCTTGCACTGGTGTGTTGGAGCCAGGAGATGCATTGCGCGAGATCTTCAGCTTTGGTTTCCTTTTCTCAGGCGAGTCGACATCACTCCCTTGCGCAAGTAGTGCAGTTGTCAAAGCGCTAAGCTTCATAGGTTGCGGTATCTCGTCGTCGGAGCTGTCGCCAATGTTGATGTTCTGCATCATGGGCGCATCCGCTGAGAAGCCCTGTGATTGCCCCAACACCGACAGTGGAGAGTCTCTCCTGGGTCGTATCGAGGAGTGCGCACGCATGCGACCCCCATATGAGGGCGTGGGCGAAACGGTAGCCATTCCAATGTCGCGTCGAGATTGTGGAGGCGCGTTCCTATATATGTTCTCGCCGGGTTACGTGGATAGCGATTGTTGGCTGTGGGTTAGTTGCGCATACATCCGGAAGGTAGGCGTTCTGTTTCGTGGTAAGGATGGGGTGAAGTTGGCGTTCATCAATACTTGGGTAGCGCGCGATTCTGAGACTCGCGTGGGTCGCGTTGCTGAGGTAACGGCGACAAACAAACAGCCGAGCTACACCTTGACGTCAAAAAGCCTTGTCCGCCAAACCATCACTAGCTTGAGCGTGTGATCTGTGTTGCTTGTCTGAGCTTTGACGTTGCAGCGTAGTCTAGGGTTCAATGTATCCTGCGTTCCAGTGTTTTCACTGTTGGAAAGACCCTATCACAACCTGATAAACACGTTGCTAAAGACTACTCAGACTCATCCGCTTTCGTCGCAATGATGAGTTTCGCTCAACCCTAATACAACGGCTGAACATCGTAGTCTGACTGTACTCGTGGTGTGCTCTCATCTCTAAATGTACATGGGAGACGGTATGCAACGGTCGTATTCAGGTATATTGTTTTCTAGCGTTTCTGTCTACTTTTCCAGATTCATAACCTCCACCAAGCATGCAAATGGCCAACAGGATTACCAAACCATAGTTCTATGCGCAGATACGCCTCCGATCCCAAGCGTGAGTCTTCTCCGAAACGCCATCGCCTACCCATGCAGCCAAACAACAGAGGTCTAATGCATTCAATCACAATTTTGCTCGCTGAGGTGCATCCTCTAGTACAACAGCTACCACGGCAGCAATGTCATCCGGTTTGCCGCCATGCCAGTTCTCCCCAGGGTAGTACCTTTGCACCTCTTTAGCGAACGGTCCATCTCGACGAGTGTTCAGCCCTGTTACTTTGGCCTCTTTCGCGATTGCAACCGCCACTTTGGCTTGGAGGGATGAGCTGTCGGCCTTCCGAGCTGAGTCGGCCTGTACCAGCTTCGCTAGGTCTTGTCCGACTTCAATGGTGCCATCTTTCTCTACCCAAGCACCCAGATCGACCATGTGACGACTAACGATACCGAGCGCATCCTGAGGGCTCAGGTTGTCCCACACACCATCAGTTGCGAAGACGAGGACATCGCCATGGCGTACTTTGTGGTGCGTTATACTCGACTCCTTGGGTAGGTCCGAAAGTGTGGATGGGCCTCCAAATACAGCCATTTGCACTAGCATACGTTGGGGAGTTTTGGAAAGCTGATACGGGGTATTGAATGCGTGCGTCTGTGGCTGCGTGAAATGTCGTACTGCGTTCAATCCCAGGTGCATGAATCCTGAATCTCCTAGGTTGGCTACCTCGACGTTGCCGTCCGGTTCTGCAACAGCCAGACATGCGGTGCTACCACCACCCTCAATGCTGTCATCATCTGTGACCTCGTCGTACGCAACCTGGAGCAAGTCTTTTGGGTGTAATGCTGTCGTGTTGAAACCGTGTGGCCATGAGCGCGCTGCGCAAGCCATGTACTCGCACAAGCCATGGGAGAAGTCAGCTGGGTCCAGTCCAGACTCGACCCATCCTCCGACTCCATCCGCTACACCAAATGTTGTGGTGTTTGTGTTTCCCACCTGGCTGAAAAAGAAAGCATCCTGGCCACTTCTCGCTCGTTTCCGCTTGTCAATGGACTCTTTGCAGTCGCGCAGATCCTCATTGCTGATGCTGGGGTCATGCACTGGTTGTGTGAAGAGATTTTGCTCCGCATTGAAGCGATCCTGCTTGGCTGAGTAGGATGCCGCGACGTGGTAGGTATACTGCGGTGTACTCCGCCAGTTGTGTGAGGTGGAATGAAAGGATCGTAAGCCGACAGTGGCCGGGGAAGTGTCTCTGTTCAGCGGGCAGGTCGGTTGTGCGAAGTTGGAAGGCATACGCTGCGGATGAAGGCCTGATGTTCGACTAGAGGAGGCAGACGCTGCCAATGGCGAGGCGGAGAGAGCAAGCAGCAAAAATGCACTGGATGAGGCGCGTCGCGACACAGGTGAAAGTCGCGCAAGGCCCGCCGCGCTGGTAATGGCAAATGACATGGCCACAGCCAGAGCCTGGAAATTCAAGGTCAGTACGTTGGAGTGTTGGCGTGAGAGCAGCGCATGCTGGCGGTGCCGTACCTCTGCGACAAGATATGTTGAAATGAAAAGGGACTAAATCACATTGGCCGTCGTCATTGCCGATCGGCTAGTTTTTGGAGGCCGTGGTACTTACAATTATTTGAAGCATCCTCAAAAGATGGAAATAGCAGAAGGAAGCCCCAGCAGCAAACTAGGAACAACGAGCTGGCATTGTTTTACTGAAATCTGGTCTC